TTTCTCACTGTGGCATCATTACTAGTTGATACTTTTAGATGCTTCGTGTTGTAAAGACATTCACATTCATACGCTTTCTATGTCAATTTTGTCAAAAAACATATTGCCAAACTGTGTCTTTTTTCTTCTGCCTTCTATGCCCCAATGGGGCATTAGTCCTCAATCAACTCACGCTGTCATTATAGTCATTGTTATTACATTTGCTCTTAGTCTCTTCCCTATCTTTTTAACTTCACTTTCTAGCTCCCTTCTGCATGTGTTTTTATGGTCTTTGAATATTTTTTATGTCCCTGTTGGTTCCAGTACAAAACTCATTGGCAGACATCTATAAATGTATACGGTTTTTGCTGAAAGAAAGTCAATTGATGGCCATTTACATATGTTAATTAGGTCAGGTCGACTGACCTTGGTATATTTGTATGATTTTTGTGTTCACCTTGTCGGGACGCACAATCTGATATGCATGTCGCCAAGCTCGCTGGTGGATAACCTTACAGGTATAATGTTTTACTTGAAAATAGTGAGCTGGCGACCATTTTCATATGTTAATTAGGTGCATAATGTATTATATGTTTTTAAAACATGCATAGACAGTTAGGTCTAACTGTCCCGCTTCCAGCAATATTGGTTGCTAAGGGATTCGTTCAGAAACAAAAAAGTTATGGCCGTAAAATCAAACATTGAGTCATTTCATCTCACTGGGTCGCAGCGGGAAGCCATGTTTTATCGATTTCTACTACAATTTTTTTGTGGTGGTATCCGCCAATAAAATGTTAATATCTCCGCTTAGAATTGGCTTACAGGTTTAAATGAGGTACCATTGGATTTGTAATTTTATTCTTTATCTAGCTGTTTTAATGTCGTAAGTAAAATCCTAAAAAATAAAACTTCACTACCATCCCTATTTAACAGCAATAATCTTCTCTAGTAACTTGTCAAAAGTATTTTGTAAGCGTTTAATGATGAAAACATAAAAGTCTGGAATGATCTTTGCCTGGTTTTCGTCCAGGGTCCCTTGCGAGTGTGTGTGTGATATCTATGTTTGGCAACAGTTTTATTTGGTATGCTTATATGAAGCATGTGCTTCTCCTCCAATATCATGCCCAATGAATTGTATACTCTGTGACGTATAGATGTACCGTACTTTGGGGGTTGAAATAACACACTGGGAGATTTCTTATTTCGACAGGCGTGTGTTTGAGAGGGGGTTTCTCGTCTACCTTGCTCTGAGTTTCCCACTCTACTCAGTTTAAATTTTGTAACAATAAATATTCGAAGTTATCTGATAGAGCGGAAGTCCGGCGAATACACGAGTCACTGGCTACAGGCAGTTGATATGCTATGGTCAAGATCTTTCAGAGTGCTTACTGGGCTATAGAAATATGATACAGCACTACACATCCAATATGGCCCAACGCGTGGAAAATGACCCTTTCACTGTATAAAGTTACCCTCCTGTCCATCAAAGTAGCTCTATTTAATGCACCAAACTACAAGCGAAGCTCCTAAAGCTACCTCGACGTTTACCACGAGGTGGACTGAGCTGCAGATTGGGATAGCTATGGGCTGTACGATCTCACCAATACTGTTTGTCATTGCCATGCAGATCATGTTAGACGGGGCGGCCGGCTACGGGCTGGGTCTTCAAATAGGGGATCACTGGATGCCGCCACTACGCGCATTTATGGATGACACGACTATAATAACGGGCAGCGAGGAGTCTGCCCGCACGATCCTGGAAAGATTGGACGCGGTGGTCCAATGGAGCGGTATGCAGTTCAAACCGCAGAAATCGAGGAGTCTGTCAATCCCTAAGGGCAAGGTGTCGGCAACCAGTTTTACGTTGGCAAGGAACAAGATCCCTACGGTTCTGGATGAACCGGTGAAGAGTCTCGGTCGCGTTTACGATTCGAAGTTATCTGATAGAGCGGAAGTCCGGCGAATACACGAGTCACTGGCTACAGGCCTGCTCGCGATCGAGCTTTGCAGGCTGGTCGGGAAATTCAAGGTATGGTGTCTCCAATTCATGTTGATTCCGAAGCTCCTATGGCCACTGTTAGTCTACGAGGTGACGACGACTGCAGTGGAAACCATGGAGAGGAAAATCAACACAGCCTTGAGAAAGTGGATTGGTGCACCGCCTTGTCTGATCGACGTGGCTCTGTATTGCAAGCAGGCTAAGCTGGTACTCCCGTTCAAATCGATAACCGAAGAGTTTAAAGTTGGCAAGGAAAGAATCGCCATGCTCTTGCGCGAGTCTTCAGACCCAAATGTCATCGCTGTCCAGCCTGCTCTAAAGACTGGCCAGAAGTGGAGGGTCCTCGATGCGATTGAATCTGCACAGAACGCACTAAAATTGAAGGAGATAATGGGATACACTCAAACCGACTGTCGAGGCCTAGGGCACGGGAAGGTCAATTGGTGGTCAAAGGCCTAAGCCAAAGAACGCCGAGACATGGTAATTCAAATGGTAAGGGACAACGAAAACGAGGTTCGGGTCCAGAAAGTGGCCCAGCAGGGCCATTGGGTCAGCCTGGAGAGCGCATTGCCAAGAATACTCAAATGGGGTGAGATCTGGCGGATGACCCCGCTGCGACTGAGCTTTATCGTTCGTTCGGCGTACGATGTATTACCGTCCGGTGTTAACATGGTTAAATGGTCTGCGACTAACGATCCGACTTGCCCGTTGTGCAAAGCGAAGCAGACTCTTGAGCATGTCCTGTCCGCTTGCAGGAAAGCCCTAGGTCAAGGCCGTTATACCTGGCGACACAACAAGGTGCAAAAAGAGTTAGCAGCCGTTGTTGACCAGGCTAGAATGAGGGCTAACTCTATAGCCAGTTCTACCACCGTCCCCATTCGCTTCCTCAAGGCTGGGCAGATTCCAAAAAGTAAGGTCAACCGAGAGGCATTTGCTCCATCTGAGCTAGACTCTGCGAGGGACTGGTTACTGGCGGTTGATCTGCCGGGCCATGAAAGGTACCCCGAGTTGATCCGGAAGACCGGTCTGCGACCTGACATAGTTCTCCACTCTGCGCAAAAACGGCAGCTCATCCCGATTGAGTTGACCGTCCCGTATGAGTCGCGTATGGACGAGAGTCACACATATAAGCTCGAGAAATATTCTGACTTAGCAGCCGGTCTGAGGAGAAACGAGGCGTACACAGTACGGGTCTTTGCCGTCGAAGTGGGAGCAAGAGGCCTCGTTTCCACTTCGCTCTACAATGTGGATAAAGAACTAGGATTGCGCGGTAATGCACGGAAACGAACACTTAAAAAACTGGGCGAGGCAGCCGAAAGGGCCTCGAGTTGGCTTTGGACGCAACGGAACAACGTAGGGGACGGGCCTCGGTGAGCTGGTCCGGGTGTCTAGTGGAATAGGGTTTCTCACCCCTTGAAAGTCCATCGTGTCCGAATTGTCTGCCAGTAATCTTCTGCCACCTGCTAATAAAAGTCCAACATGTGTCCGGTAAACCAATCGTAAGCTTGTCGCTCGGTCGTCCAGGTACGCTGACTGCTTTAATTAGGCTGCCGCGGCGACTTCTTATCTCACAGTACCTTCTGCAAACCACCAAGTCGTCTTGTCCCTATCCGAAAGAAAAACACCATCCGGTAATTTCGTGCAGCCGGGTACCAGCCCTGAGCTTCATGAACTCAGGTGGGCCCACCTCCGAAAGTGTCTAGGAGAATCGTGGGCCGAAACACTTGTCGACAAGGATATCTTCTACTGACGACTTGTAGAACCCTGCTGTACTTGCTCCCTATGAGTTTATTCCTATTGTCACACCACATGTCTTATACAATATGAAAAAAGGGAAGCAAACAACGGTACCTCACAGAGTTAGAGAACGGACCACTAATAAGAATGTAGCAAAGGCATATATATATAAGGTGAGCACTTCTCAACTGAAATGAGTGTCTCACTGGCGGTAGGAAACTGCTTGTCCTGACAGACATTTCTGTCAAAGGTGGTGTGCTCAAAACATACCTACTGTTTTATTTTCAGTTGATATTATGAGCAAGTATCAAATCTTAATATTGGCCGTGGGCGGGGTGACATCTTCATTATTACTATCTGAGGTGAACAACTTTCTATAACATGGCTATATTGAAAATAATGTTTGCTTCAGGAGCTTGCAAAACATGGCCCAGTGGTAGGGTGACCGTAATATCTTGAGCTGACAAAGAAGCATCCCAAGAAAGTCAGTTTAAACTTATTTGTGTGTGTATCTGTATGTGTGTGTGTGTGTGTGTGTTTGTTTTAGGGCACTAGGCTGAAAGGATCAATTACTCGCTCAGCAATGGTATTAAAACCTGAAGCATTATGACCAAGAAATAAACGAAACAATATGATATTTACCTGCACTGGAAAAGGGGGGTCGGGGAGGGGGTGGGGGAGGGGGAGGGAAACATGCTACGATGAAATGTCATATCAGCACATCTCAGGCAAAAAAAAAAGAATCTGTTCTTGTGAATTTTATTATCTCGAGATGACTCCTAGATGTTTATCAAATGGGATAGTTGGCGTTATTTCGGAGTACCGACGGCCGGGACACACTCAACAAACGGGACTGTCGGGATGAAAACGAGTACAAACCTAGAAAGTAAAACTAAAGGACCCTTTTCGTGTCTTTGGTTGACCAGGTGCATAAACTAGATTTTTTGTAAGGTTCTCTGCTCAGCTGTCACCATTTTATGTTCTAGTATTTACAGTTGACAGAATCTCGGTAAATGCTGCAACATGACGCTGTGATCATGACTTGAATACAGACAACGTGGAGGCCTGTATGAATACAGACATCTTGGAGGCATGTATGAATACAGACATCTTGAAGGCATGTATGAATACAGACAACGTGGAGGCATGTATAAATACTGACATCTTGGAGGCATGTATGAATACAGACAACGTGGAGGCATGTATGAATACAGACAACGTGGAGGCATGTATGAATACAGACAACGTGGAGGCATGTATGAATACAGACATCTTGGAGGCATGTATGAATACAGACATCTTGGAGGCATGTATGAATACAGACATCTTGGAGGCATGTATGAATACAGACAACGTGGAGGCATGTATGAATACAGACAACGTGGAGGCATGTATGAATACAGACAACGTGGAGGCATGTATGAATACAGACATCTTGGAGGCATGTATGAATACAGACAACGTGGAGGCATGTATGAATACAGACATCTTGGAGGCATGTATGAATACAGACATCTTGGAGGCATGTATGAATACAGACAACGTGGAGGCATGTATGAATACAGACATCTTGGAGGCATGTATGAATACAGACATCTTGGAGGCATGTATGAATACAGACATCTTGGAGGCATGTATGAATACAGACAACGTGGAGGCATGTATGAATTCAGACAACGTGGAGGCATGTATGAATACAGACAACGTGGAGGCATGTATGAATACAGACAACGTGGAGGCATGTATGAATACAGACAACGTGGAGGCATGTATGAATACAGACAACGTGGAGGCATGTATAAATACAGACAACGTGGAGGCATGTATGAATACAGACATCTTGGAGGCATGTATGAATACAGACAACGTGGAGGCATATATGAATACAGACATCTTGGAGGCATGTATGAATACAGACAACGTGGAGGCATGTATGAATACTGACATCTTAGAGGCATGTATGAATACAGACATCTTGGAGGCATGTATGAATACAGACAACGTGGAGGCATGTATGAATACAGACAACGTGGAGGCATGTATGAATACAGACATCTTGGAGGCACGTATGAATACAGACATCTTGGAGGCATGTATGAATACAGACAACGTGGAGGCATGTATGAATACAGACATCTTGGAGGCATGTATGAATACAGACATCTTGGAGGCATGTATGAATACAGACAACGTAGAGGCTTGTATGAATACAGACAACGTGGAGGCATGTATGAATACAGACATCTTGGAGGCATGTATGAATACAGACATCTTGGAGGCATGTATGAATACAGACATCTTAGAGGCATGTATGAATACAGACAACGTAGAGGCATGTATGAATACAGACAACGTGGAGGCATGTATGAATACAGAAAACGTGGAGGCATATATGAATACAGACATCTTGGAGGCATGTATGAATACAGACATCTTGGAGGCATGTATGAATACAGACATCTTGGAGGCATGTATGAATACAGACAACGTGGAGGCATGTATGAATACAGACAACGTGGAGGCATGTATGAATACAGACATCTTGGAGGCATGTATGAATGCAGACATCTTGGAGGCATGTATGAATACAGACATCTTGGAGGCATGTATGAATACAGACAACGTGGAGGCATGTATGAATACAGACATCTTGGAGGCATGTATGAATACAGACAACCTTGAGGCATGTACAGTCTCCTGCAGGATGTGTTTTCTTGAGGTTCAACTGGGACTTTCCCCACTAATTAAGTGTGATGTCGGCGACACGTCGTGTCATGTGGGTAATTTACATGAGAATATATGTAAGCCTGGCAATCATTTAGAGAATAAATCTCTCATTCTGTTGACATTGTTGTGACAGCTAACACATATTAGGTGTCAGGAACCGAGATGCAGCTCCGGGGCATTCTCGTAAACTTTAAAAATGTGACACTCTTGTTTTGACAAAGGCAAATATTCGTAACGAAATCCCTAATTATAACTTTTTAGAAGGTCGAAAGGGATATAAAGAGTTTATTCTGTTGGAATAAGTCACAGGAACCTAACTCTGCCGAGGTTGTGCATTGATAACGCTGTTGTGATGTCTGTTCTTTCCAATACCTCAGTATTTGTGATTTTATCTTGCAACTTAGTGTCATGTATTATTCTTATTTAACGCATGTCAAAGCTATTTAGCCGTTTCTCGAGGTGTGAATAAGTTCATTTTGTTTCACTACCTTAAAAAAAGACTGCTGAGAAGACAAGCCTGACAAGAGAGTTGTTGTTTTTATCATTTGCTTTCTGTCCCTATCCTGATATTAATTTCTTGGTCCTGAGTTAGTTAGTTGTTTTGTGTGTGTGTGTGTGAATCTCAAATGTGTAAAGTGGTCATCTGTCTCAATTTATTATAGACCCCTCTTCTGGAAGGCATGCTTTCCGTAGCCCAGCGATATACCTGCCTATTTAGTTCGCCATTAGTGATAGCCGCTTTTCTCACATCATTAACGTTTTCCAGTTAGTGGAAAACCCAGGACACATAGCCCTCATATACCACGTGACAGGCTGATTTGCCTAGTACAATAGTTTTCACAGTCTGCGATTCGGATGTTGTCCTAACTCCAATAGGAATAAACTCACAGGGAGCAAGTACAGCAGGGATCTACCAGTCGTCAGTAGAAATTATCCTCGTCGACACGCGTTTCGGCCCACGATTCCTAGACGCATTCGGAGGTGGGCCCACCTGAGTTCATGAAGCTCAGGGCTGGTTCCCTGCTGCACGGAATTACCGGATGGTGTTATACTTTCGGCCAGAGACAAGACGACTTGGTGGTTTCGAAAGAGGTACTGTGAGATAAGAAGCCGCCGCGGCAGCTTAATTAGAACAGTCAGCGTGTCTGGACGACCGAGCGACAAGCTTACTTTGGTTTACCGGACACATGTTGGACTTTTATTAGCAGTTGGCAGGAACACTGGCAGACAATTCGGACACGATGGACTTTTCAAAGGGGTGAGAAACCCTTTTCCACTAGATACCCGGACCAGCTCACCGAGGCCAGTCCCCTACGTTGTTGCGCTGCGTCCAAAGCCAGCTGGAGGCCCTTTCGGCTGCCTTTCCCAGTTTTTTGAGTGTTTTTTTCCGTTCATTACCGCGTAATCCTAATTCTTTCACCACATTGTAGAGCGAAGTGGAAACGAGGCCTCTCGCTCCCACTTCGACGGCAAATACCCGTACTGTGTAAGCCTCGTTTCTCCTCAAACCGGCTGCTAAATCACTGTACTTCTCGAGCTTGTACAAATGATTCTCCTCCATCCGCGACTCAAACGGGACAGTCAACTCAATCAGGATGAGCTGCCGTTTTTGCGCAGAATGGAGAACGATGTCCGGTCGCAGGCCGGTTTTACGGATCAACTCGGGGTACCGTTCATGGCCTGGCAGATCAACCGCCAGTAAACAGTCCCTCGCAGAGTCTAGCACAGATGGAGCGAATGCGTTTTGGTTGACCTTACCCTTTGGAACCTGCCCAGCCTTGAGGAAACGAATGGGGACGATACTAGAACTGGCTCTGGCGTTAGCCCTCATTCTAGCCTGGTCGACAACGGCTGCTAACTCCTTTAGCACCTTGTTGTGGCGCCAGGTATATCGGCCTTGACCTAGGGCTTTCCTGCACGCGGACAGGACGTGCTCAAGAGTTTGCTTCGATTTACACAACGGGCAAGTCGGATCGTTGGTCGCAGACCATTTAACCATATTAACACCGGACGGTAATACATCGTACGCCGAACGAACGATAAAGCTCAGTCGCAGCGGGGTCATCCGCCAGATCTCACCCCATGTGAGTACTCTTGGCAATGCGCTCTCCAGGCTGACCCAATGGCCCAATGGGCTGCTTTCTGGACCCGAACCTCGTTTTCGTTGTCCCTCACCGTTTGTATTACCATGTCACGGCGCTCTTTGGCAGAGGCCTTCGACCACCAATTGACCCTCCCGTGCCCTAGGCCTCGAGGGTCGGTTTGTGTGTAACCCATAATCTCTCTCAAATTTAGTGCATTCTGGGCAGATTCTATCGCATCGAGGACCCTCCATTTGGTACCAGTCTTTAGAGCGGGCTGGACAGCGATGACATTTGGGTCTGAAGACTCGCGCAGAAGCATGGCGAGTCTTACCTTGCCGACTTTAAACTCTTCGGTTATCGACTTGAACGGAAGTACCAGCTTAGCCTGTTTGCCATACAGAGCCACGTCGGTCAGACAAGGCGGTGCTCCAATCCACTTTCTTAAGGCTGTGTTGATTTTTTTCTCTATGGCTTCCACTGCAGTCGTCGTCACCTCGTAGACTAACAGTGGCCATAGGAGTTTCGGAATCAACATGAATTGGAGACACCATACCTTGAATTTTCCGATCAGCCTGCATCGCTCGATCGCGAGCAGTCCTGTAGCCAGTGACTCATGTGTTCGCCGGACCTCCGCTCTATCGGATAACTTCGAATCGTAAACGCGACCGAGACTTTTCACCGGTTCCTCCAGAACCGTAGGGATCTTGTTCCTTGCCACCGTAAAACTGATTGCCGACACCTTGCCCTTATGGATTGACAGACTCCTCGACTTCTGCGGTTTGAACTGCATACCGCTCCATTGGACCACCGCGTCCAATCTTTTCAGGATCGTGCGGGCAGACTCCTCGCTGCCCGTTATAATAGTCGTGTCATCCATAAATGCGCGTAGTGGCGGCAACCAGTGATTCCCTATTTGAAGGCCCTGTCCGTAGCCGGCCGCCCCGTCTAACATGATCTGCATAGCCATGACAAACAGTATAGGTGAGATCGTACAGCCCATAGCTATCCCAATCTGCAACTCAGTCCACCTCGTGGTAAACGTCGAGGTAGAGAAGCGCAAAGCGAACTTAGAGAAATATTGCTCGACCATTTGACTGATCTGTGTCGGTACGTGAAACATGCGAAGGGCTCGCTACATTAGCCTATGGGGGACTGCCCCGTAGGCGTTGGCTAAGTCCAACCATATAAATCGGAGATTTAGGCGAAAATGAGAACGGTTGGGGTTCGATCCTGTGAGAGTGTGTTTTTGGAACTGTCGTAGTGCCAGACAGAGAGGGCCCATACATGGAAGTTAAAGAGAGTTGCAGTAAAGCGTTTAAAGAAAATGCGACAGACAGCCCTAAGCACACAGGAAGAGTTGGAGGGCGTGGAAAGAGATAAGAAAGATAAGATAGAGGTTTTTCAAGCGCTGTGCGGCAGAGGCCAAAAAAAAAAAAAAGCAAAATGTGAACATATTATTGATGAGACTGGGAGCGATAAGTCATTGGGAAAGTTTTGGAAGCTACATAGGCAGATGCACAAGAAAGGTCCACCCAGCTACGTGGGAGCTATTCATAGAGATGACGGTATGCTGTTAACCACAGGCAAAGAGAAGGGGAGGCTTTCCTGAAGAGGTTCCTTTCACAGACAGACCATAATTATGGAGATAACAGAGATGGAGTTAGAGAAGATCTGGCAGCCATTTCAAGAACAAACATTATAAAGACATCTTACAGGTGGAAGATGCAAAACGTATTCTGAAAAGGGCAAAAGAAATTACGTCCGGGCCCAAAGGGTTAGATATTCCCACAGGAAAGATGCAAGGAGTGATGCAGACCTGTTGGAGATGACTGCTTGCTTCAACCAGAGCATAAGGACAGATTCAGTCCCAGAAGAGTAGATGCACCGCTACCTGATTCCACTTCCTAAGCCTGGCAAAACTCATTTAACACTCGGGGCATCATAACCCTATCGAACACCTTTGGTAAAGTGCTGGAGAAGATAGTGGCGGGCAAGCTACAAGAACTTTTGGAACAGATAAATCTCATTTCACGACGATAGGGAAGTTACCGTCCGGGGAAGGACCCATGGTCAAATGCAGCCACTTTTGCCTTTGATACCTTTAAAGGTTTCCATAACAGACAGGAAACGGTGGCAGCGGCACTAGATTTAGAAGACGCTTACAGACTCTTAAAGCATGCTGGAAAAGGCGAAGACAGGGATGCTTTGAGCAGAGTGGCAAGCTTCAATGGAAAGGTCACGGGTAGTGAGCATACTTTGGATCTTTTCTCCAGACTATGCCTGCTTAGTGGGTAATGAACAGACAGGCAGATTTGCTGAATCTGCACCACTGGGTGGTGAATTGATACATGACAAAGCAGATGTGGTTAAGGCCCGTTGGAAACAAGCAACGGAATCAGTAGAGAAAGAAAGATTATTATGGCCTGGAGAATGAGGCACCTGGGTCTAACCCGAGGGTCTGGCCGGCTTACCTCACTCAGAGGAAAGGCAAGACGGACATTTAACCAGATTGTGACCGGTACTATCAGTATTAGAACTCTTTGCTGGCTGCTGAAGATGAGGACGGAGCATACATGGAATTCCCCGATTGCTGTGATGTTTATTCTTGGCTCAACTCATCTCACCTCATCTACAAATATATGTACATAACACTTCTACTACCTCAAGTGCTCCCCGTCTGTTTGTGTGTGTGAATTACTTGTAACACAATGGAACTGACCAATCCAATCTTTTTGAAATGTTTGTTGTAATCTAGACTCAGCGTTACGATCCCATATGTTTGTAAGTGTTGCTGTGTTTGTTTTTTGGCCTATGCTTGGTTACTATAAATTTATGTAACCTGTAGTGTCATTCCATTAGTTTGACATGGATTTTGTCCCTATTCCGTAGCTGGGGATTTCAAGCTGTACGATAGACATGGCCAATGCAGACACCTTTTTAAGGGATGCCTATTTGGTTTTGTTCTTAGTATTCTTGTTTCCATACCGAGGTGCACACGTCATTTGGAGGGTACAGGGTACAGGTTTGAATCTTAGCATGGTTACTG